CAAGCAAAGGTACTCACGGATCAAACTCATGGATAACACTTTCAAATCTCAGGACAGCAAAGAGACGAGTGGAGAAAGCTGCAAAAACCAGAGAGTTAATATTTTACTGGTAATGTGCCATGAAAGAACAGCAGATATAGTATTATAATGAAGACAGTATTATCCAGTAGAGAGGTCACAGAAAATACAAAATAATCCCTGAATAAAGTCTTTATTCCATCTCTCCCCACATAAAGGAAATAAGAGAAGTTAACTTTCCCCTGACAATGGCATCTACATTTTCCACTTTCATAGGTCACAGTTAACTAATCATAAAAGCCTATAACATTACATTCACCTACTAATACCAAACTCAGCTTACATGGTCATCTTTTATACACGTTGACTCCCCCACCACACACACATAACTAACCTTAACCTTGGAGCCAAGTAATAGGTATGGCAAGCAAAATTATACCTAGGACTCATGAAGAGCCAGAAAATCTAAAATACAGAGTAAACACTCAAGAGACTTTCAAAAATATGACAGGAGGCACCTAAATTGAAGATAATTGTCTTTTACAAAAATCAGTTATCCACGGGTCCCCAATATCACTTTCTGCCCTGTGAGAAAATAGAATTGGCACAGCATGCTTCCCATTCTTTCACAGATGATCATAGCCCTGACTCTTTTTTTTTTTTTTTTTTTTTTTGAGATAGTCTCGCTCTGTTTCCCAGGCTATGCAGTGGTGCAGTCTCGGCTTACTGCAACCTCTGCCTCCCAGGTTCGAGTGATTCTCATGCCTCAGCCCCCCAAGTAGCTGGGATTACAGGTATCCACCACCACACTCAACTAGTTTTTGTATTTTTAGTAGAGACAAGGTTTCATCATGTTGGCCAGGCTGGTCTCAAACTCTCAGCCTCAAGTGACCCACCCACCCCAGCCTCCCAAAGTGCTGGGATTACAAGCGTGTGCCACCATGCGTGGCCCATAGCCCTGACTTTTATATTCCTTCTATTTTGCCTTCATTAAATTATACTGATGAGGAATGGAAAAACATAACAATCTGCTAAAAAGAACAAGGCATTTAAAGATAGCGATTTTCAATTTTTTTCTAGACTTTCCTCTTTCTATCCCCAAAGAAAGGGAGGTTCACATGCACACTCACATAATACAGCAGCCATTGACAGAATGAGAAGCTTCAGAAGTGTGTCCTGCTTCTCATAGGACAATCGCAAAAATCCGAATTTAGTCATCTTAACATGAATGGGTGGCCACACACGACGATCAGCTAAAATGAAAAAGTCAAGACCACAAGATATTGAACACCTTCAATTTACTAGATTTTCATATTTTATGATGAGAGGGAATCATAAAGGACATAGAAGCTAGCAAAAACACCAGAGAGGGTCAAAGCTAATACTAATATCCAAGCCTGGCCTAAAGTATGATCAACTTGCAAGGAAGTAGGCACAAGTCAGGTCTATGTGTCAAGACCAAAATAGAGTAGTCAGAATAAACCATCCATAATTCTATTTCCCACTCCTTCACAGCTAACTCCTTCACAGCTAACAAGTACATAAGCACAATTAGCAATAGTTCAGTACAAGGAAGAGATGAAAAAATAAATAGGAAGATTGGAAATACTGAAAAATAATAAAATGGCAAAAGAGAGCACTCAGGAAAAGGCAGGACTGTATGGGGGGAAAAAGCAGGAAATAAATATCGAGACCAGAAGTGCAAGCCCCAGCAATTTCCGAGGCTAAGGAGGGAGGATCACTTGAAGTCAGGAGTTCAAGACCAATCTGAGCAATACAGTGAAACTCCATCTCCACAAAAAATTGTTTAAAATTATGCAGGCTTGGTGGTCTGCACGTGTAGTCCCAGCTACTCAGGAGACAGAGGCAGGAGTTGGAGGTTGCAGTGAGCTAGGATCACACCACTGCACTCCAGCCTGGACAACAGAGCCAGACCTCGTCTCTTTAAAAAGGAAAAAAAAAAAAGAAAGAAAAAGTGAAAGCAGTAAGAGGAAAAATAGAGGTCACGACTGAATCAACACAATTTCAAGCCCTAAATTTAAACTTCAACTGAATGGCTATAAACTTTTTTCTTTTTCCAAATCCCAGTGGGGCTGTCGGGTCAACTAAGAGCATAACTGATAACTAAGGCAGGTACAATCATGCACTCAAGAAGAGGAGGAGGTACACAAACACAGACCCACTGCGCTCTCAATCCCATATATCAGACTGTATAACAGCTGCTCAGATCGATAACCGTTTCCAATCATCTGTCTCAAGGCATCTCTGTAACTGACAATGCTGATTTAAGAGATTGATTAAATTACACACAGACATTTGATGGCATCAGATGATAAGCTAGAGGGAAAGAAAACGAATTTTTCCTACTGAAGCAGAAGAGTCGGGGGCTAAACAAAGTAGATTAAAATGTTTGAACTGCAAACAAAGTAGATTAAAATGTTTGAACTGTGGACAGTTCAAAATGGAAATCACATGACAGATAAGAATTACTTATATAGCAATATAGCATTAATCTACCATAGGTTAGTTATTCTTGTATAAGACAGTACTAGACAGTACTACCTTTTTTTTTTTTCTTTTTTGAGATAGAGTCTCGCTCTGTCGCCAGGCTAGAGTGCAGTGGTGCCATCTTGGCTCACTGCAGCCTCCATCTCCTGGGTTCAAGCGATTCTCCGGCCTCAGTCTCCACAGTAGCTGGGATTACAGGCACATGCCACCATGCCCAGCTAATTTTTCTATTTTTAGTAGAGATGGGGTTTTACTATGTTGACCAGGCTGGTCTCGAACTCCTGACCTCGTGATCCACCCGCCTCGGCCTCCCACAGTGCTGGGATTACAGGCATGAGCCACCGTGCCCAGTGGAGTCTCTTCATTTCTAAGAAGGGAATAATAGTACCTACATCTCAAAGGGTTGCTGAAAGGATTTACAGATAATCTGTAAATTAGTGCTTGGAACAAAATGAATGCTTAGTAAATGCTAGTTATTAATACCACTAAGAACTTCCACCATATCTTTTTCATCTAATGAACAAAATTCCTAATCAAACTGATAACTTGAGTTTTTTTCATTGCCCTAGAATTTAACTAAGAAGCCTAATTTCTATTACATAAATTGCTAAACAAACAAGTAAACAGCAAAATGTCATGAATCTCAAGTCTATCATTTGTGAGTCTCTTCTGAGCCTGGAATACACACCAGGACCCTTTCCTTCAGTCTGCATCACAAACTTTTACCAAACTGAGCAGCCAGAATTCTTAGCCTAGCCAGATCTTAAGTGACAGGCAGACATACTAGCAATGCCTCTCACATTTTTTGAGTTTCAGAGACTTACTTGGTCAATTCCAACATTTTTTTTTTTTTTTTGTAGAGATGGGGTTTCACCCTGTTGCCCAGGCTGGTCTCGAACTCCTAAGCTCAAGTGATCCCTCCACCTCCGCCTCCCAAAGTGCTGGGATTACAGGTGTGAGCCACTGTGCCTGGACTCCAACATATATGCTTTAAAAGGAGATAATTATATCCTTTGGAAGAGTTTAAGCTTTTTTTTTTTTTCCCCTTAAATGTACTGAAAACACATCTGTATCACTGAGGCCTGACTGAAATTTGAATCTAAAACCCATGAACCTGAATGCCTCCCAAAGTAAATAATACCAGATCAAGCAAAGGTACTCACGGATCAAACTCATGGATAACACTTTCAAATCTCAGGACAGCAAAGAGACGAGTGGAGAAAGCTGCAAAAACCAGAGAGTTAATATTTTACTGGTAATGTGCCATGAAAGAACAGCAGATATAGTATTATAATGAAGACAGTATTATCCAGTAGAGAGGTCACAGAAAATACAAAATAATCCCTGAATAAAGTCTTTATTCCATCTCTCCCCACATAAAGGAAATAAGAGAAGTTAACTTTCCCCTGACAATGGCATCTACATTTTCCACTTTCATAGGTCACAGTTAACTAATCATAAAAGCCTATAACATTACATTCACCTACTAATACCAAACTCAGCTTACATGGTCATCTTTTATACACGTTGACTCCCCCACCACACACACATAACTAACCTTAACCTTGGAGCCAAGTAATAGGTATGGCAAGCAAAATTATACCTAGGACTCATGAAGAGCCAGAAAATCTAAAATACAGAGTAAACACTCAAGAGACTTTCAAAAATATGACAGGAGGCACCTAAATTGAAGATAATTGTCTTTTACAAAAATCAGTTATCCACGGGTCCCCAATATCACTTTCTGCCCTGTGAGAAAATAGAATTGGCACAGCATGCTTCCCATTCTTTCACAGATGATCATAGCCCTGACTCTTTTTTT